ATGATCTACTCGACCACCATTATGGTTACCGCCAAAAAAAAAACCGGAGGAACAAAAAAAAACGGTAACCTGGTTGCCGTGTTCACGAAGTGAATTGGCTTGTTTTTCAACGTCGTTGCCAAGCGACGAAAACCCAACCCCGATAGCAAATACCGGGGGGGGCGGCTTGTTTTACAACGTCGTTGCCAAGCGACGAAAACCCACCCCCGATGGCAAACACCGGGGGGGACAAGTGGGAGAGGAAAAAAAGATCCCGCAGCAGCCCACACCACTCTTGACCCCAGCAACATCGCCACGATGGCAACGGCTGCGGTCGCACGGCCTTGGTCGCCGCATTCAGTGGCAAAACACCATCGCCCAGCTTCAAACGTCGAGGATCGCAAGAAAAGCCATGCTCGCTTATCGCAGGACACCGATGAATGGCTTCGAAAATTGCGAGCCGGTCTGGCAAACCACACCAAAAACACCGACAAGCGCGATCGGCATCGTCGACTGCAGACTTGCGCCGAAGGTTCGGGGGTCACGGTCACCAGCTCGTTGTTCTCTTTGCTGGAAGGCTGCCTGGCCGAGATGGACGTGAAAATCGGAGAAGAGGTGGAGTTAGTTGGAGACTCGGAAATGATTGCTTCCGAGCTGGACAGCGACAGCGATGATGCTGAGGTACTTGGCGAGGTCAACTGCGGACGCTTCCGGCGTCCGATGCAGACTGACGACTCAAGGGTTATGTAACGATAGAATTGACCACGGATGATACCTAAATGTGTCACTGGGGTTTACCAGATCGCCAGACTGTCGTTGTCAAGAAGCGACCCCCGCGGTCATATTCCAAACACTCTGGTAGATGCCTCTCAACACGGCAGTAACTACCGGGTGCAATCTTTGTCTTTACCTTCGTTTGTGGTGTTATAATGTCATGTTGACTTTCGTTTTATTGTACGATTATCTCTCAACATCCTTCCTCATGGCACCACGGTCCCAGCAGGTTCAACTGTACCGACGAGCAATACCGCAGTCGAACATCGAGTAGCCGTATACTGCCAAGCCCCTTTGATTGTCAGGCTACCGCTCAGACCGTGCCACGGGAACATGAGAAAGGAGGACAGTGTGTCCTCGGAGTTGTCAGTGACTTCCTTGGCTTGCTCAACTCGTTTGTTGTTTTTGCTTGACTGCGCGCAGTACATCTGGGTGGCCTGCTATGACACAACGTCGTTGGACATAGCGTGTATCTCGCTCGAATCTGTCACCTCCGTACACCCTTCAACGGCGACCTGGTACTGTAAGTCCCAAGTTGGTGGTTTGTTCAGTCCTATGGTACGCTAAATGTACGAACCGTGGGTATGGTTAGTCTAAGCGTTCAGCCCACTCGGCCTCGTCTTCATGAATCCAAAGTTCTTGTGGAAAGGCGTCCGCACTCTGCAGAACACCCGAGCAAATGTGCTTCCGCGTGCCGCGTCTCCCCGCCCCCTCCGCGCCAACCCGCGCCCCACAACCTATTTCACACCAAAACATGATGCCATCAGGTGTTGATGACACAGCCGAAGGTGGGGTCGTGGTGGCCACCGACACGACCTTGGCGTAAACTGCGGATGCGACGATGATGCCACCGCACCGACCCCCACCATTACCACCACCCCTTCCCCGGCGGTGGACACTACCACACCTAATGCTCCAAGCGGGAGCTTTTGCACCGAGGGAGAGCCTTTCACTGTCAATATTTCGAGCTATTTCCGCACTGCCGGAAGCGGATGCTTGTTTCAAAGCCACTGGTGGCCTCCTCTCGGATGAGACAGTCAACACTCTGTCGGGTGGATTGGACGGTGGGGAGATGTGGGTCTTCGGCCTGCCGATTTCAGACGACGTTGGCGCTGCGGTAAGATGGTAGTGCCATGCACGCCCCTCGCATCTGTCGATACGCACGGCCATGTTTGTGTCCGAACATCACAGGTTTGCAACTGTCACCTCCACTGTTCAGAAGAATTCAGGTGCGCACAGCCTTGGGTGTGAATCGCATTTTGAACGCCGTACTACCCATTTTTTTTTTGGTCTCCCATCACTGAACTCTGTCGACGGCCCCTCTGGCCCCTATCCTCCACTTCTACCAGCTAGACGACCCAACCGGGGTCACATAGGAGGGGGGGGCTGGACCTTCTCCTGCGGTTCCTGCCTGAGATATTTTTATCGCGAGAAGGGTATAGCAATCCCTTCCCTCGCGACTTATCAAGTCGATCAAGTTTACTAACAACGAGCTTTGCAGCGCGTCGCTTCCAACGGAGACCAGGATTTAATTAGCGAGAGAAAACTCTCTCTGTCGGGACTCGAACCCATGAGCTGGCCCTTAGCAGGCTGCGAGGCTACCCTCTTGACCACCGGGGCGACCGGTGATGTGTGTGGGCTTGGTCCTCAGTGCATGGCATTGCCTTTTGTAGGTGAAACCAATCGGCCGGCGGTCTTGTTCCCCACCATTACCCCATCTCACACCCGTACATGCCACTTTCTGCTTCTTCTGTCGTCTCTCGCGCTATAGTCAGCTTCGCGTCTTCGTCCACCCAGACCTTCGAGGCCGATGGTGCCAGCTTCACGTGCGGGTGCTCCAGCGACCTCACCCCTGAGCCTCCCGAACCTTGTCTCCCGGAGCCCAGCCCCGAACCTGTACTTGCTACGCCGAACCCGTACCAACGACGCCGGAACCCGTATCTACCACGCCGGAACCAACCGTGTCGACCACGCCCGAAGAGGTAATCCGTACGCCTGAACCCGTAACTGCCACACCGGAACTATCTACCACGCGGGAACCAACCGTATCAACCACCCCTGGGCTAACCGTATTTCAGACGCCGGAACCCATATTGTTCACGCCGGAACCGGTACCTCCACGCTTGAACATGTGCCTTCTGCACCTGAACCGGTTGCTGCTCTACGCCTGCACCGGTATCCTTGACGGAAGCCCCCGGTGTGCTAAAGGCGCTTAATGGGTGCAACAAACGCCCTTCACTTTCACAATACTACTGACATCTGTGAAGGATGGATCGGCGGGCTTGCTGAAGGGGCAGTAGTCAAGAAAAAGCGAGCGCGACGAGACATTTAGATGGTACGGCCTGGTGCCCATCTCCTGTTTTGATCGTGCGGCCGGCTGCTTGGACCGGGCACGTCTAACAAGAATGACTGGGAACACATTGGTGTGAGCCCCACCTCATCACAGGTGTTGACCAGGCCAAACGTCTCAGGAAAACCTGTGCAACGGCGTACATGACGGTCCGAAGGGGTGCCATCATCCCTTTGGCGTGCAACAGAGATGGTGCTGGCCATTCCATCTCGCGACTTCCCCCAAAATTGATTTTTTTGTACTACAAAAATCTCCTAATCGTAGCAGTCATTGGACTTGACGTATCAGCTTCATGGGAGGGTGCAGCCTTAGGTTTGCAAGGAGCACACGAGTGGTCCCCTGCCCACAGGCTATCGTTATTCCCTACCTCAAGTCTGGCGGTAGTCGTATAGTCTCCAGCAAGATCAAAATTTTGCACCACTTTCGACTGTCAACCATGTCCCTCTGGTCCCTTCTGTACATGCTGCCAGCGTTGTCGATGTGGAGCCGGGCACCCCCAACTCCAGGTACAGCTCAGACGAACTCGGAGCTCACTTGTTTCCATACTGCCTACGAACGCGATTTCAGCAGTTGAAAAGATCTCAGAAACCCGCTCTTAATCCATATCTTTGTTTTCGTTTTGCTCGACCACATGGAATAACGCTGGCTAGGTGACGCCTTCTCCGGTATCCGAGGCCGTCAAACCGATATCAGGAGCGATTTTTTTCGTGTCTCCAACGTCGGGTCCTACTGCCGGAAGCCGAGGCCTCCCTGTCATACCAGGGCCGACCTCGACACCAACGTCCATCAGCCCGTCCCCAGTGCTGCCAATCCCTATGGTCGCACCGATAGGAACCCCAGGTGCTGTCCATGCCCCTGTCTCCGACAACGCGGCCAGCCCATCTCCATCTCCAGAGATTGCTCCGTCTTCGTCGACATGTGGGGACACCGAGTTGTTCTTGATCACTTCGACGGACTCCCTGATATCCAGGGATGCTTCCAAACGACTTCTACGTCGTTCTCGACGCCGGGATCAACCGGGGAGTTTTGGAGCTTGGCCTGCGAGGCGTTTAATGAGAGTGTGTTGGTAGGCGCTTACCTAGACGAGGACACTAAAAAAAAAGGTGAGGTGCTACCACAGACACCGTGGAAGCGAACGCATACCTAACGTATGCAGTGACATCCCCTCCCTTGGGCCGTTGAACCGTCCAGAACGCCCAAACAATAATTCGCACAGTTGTCTCTTTGAGCACGCCGCGGTGCGGGCAAGCGCAAGGCACCCTGCCTGACACGAATTACAGTATTCGATGCAAAATAATACGCACCATTTTGGCTTCCCATTTTCACCGGGCGTGTCACTATGGGGGGG